GGCACGTGATGGACCTACTAGCAGCACTCCATAAGTTTTGGAGAAAATGGAACCAGAGTTGGCTCGTTCCATTACAAGTACTAGTACGCCTAGCAGGCATCAGATACTGAATTGGTAGCCTTTATTTCTCTGATTAATTGTTATCAAATTCGTGTAGCAAGTATTAGGAATACCCAGTGTGTGCCCGCCGTTGATCGATGGGGCCCCATACTTTTTATATCCCAGCTATGCACGTCCCGCGAAGTACTTCATTACGCGAAGTAATGAAAAAAAGAGATGACTGCAGAGAAGTGGAGCGTCAGAGGTGCAGAAATTCTGTGAATTTCGGGATGTCCGCCGCGTCAAATCATTGTGGAAAAAAACAAGCCTGCCAGCCATGGGATATATGCCATGTGAGTGTAAAGTTGGAAAGAAAGTAATGGTACATTTGCGTTCAGGTGTTGTCAGCGAGTTTTTCGGCCATCAATGCCATTGGGAACACGCCACTGAACGTCTATGGAGAGAAAGCTCTGAAAAACTTCCCATGCTATTGCTTTAATATGGTCTGCTATCACTGGCATTCCTCGCTAATGATGCCGTGCAAGCCGGTATTCGCATCTAGGGTACAGCATCGTAATGTGTGATATGGTGGTGTAGGTCAATTTCTTGAAGCTATCCTGATGGTATAATTGGCCTTTTTCACCACTGCTTGATAAAACCCTTTTTTCAAGATTTTTTCAAGCATGTGAAAAGAGCAGCTTCGGACGATTTTTTTCTTCGACTATAAAATGGCAATCCGCAGTCGAAACAGCTCAACAAATTAACCAGGTGTGGGGGCCAATAGTTAAGTCATTCATCATATTGATTTCACGACCCAGGTACACATAGCTAGAGTATTCAGAAATGGTCGTCGTTGAGCGTGAATGAGGCATCAGAAACCAATCCGTTTCTCATGAAAATCGTCTTCGTTAGGTTCAGCCGTAGACCGATTCTTCCACACGCGCAGTCGAATTCAGCCAGCATTCGCTCCGCTTGCTCGATGTTTGGCGTTATCAAAACGATGTTGTCAACAAAGCGGAGGTGGTGTAGTTGCCGACCTTCGCTCTTCACTCCCATGTCTTCCCATTCCAGTTGACGCGTGAAGTTCTGAGAGAGGCGCTGAAGAGCTTGGGCGCGATGGTGTCGCCCTGGCGGACCCTCTTTTTACGTCGATGATGATCCCTTGTAGAATGGTGAGATCCTAGTCGTGAAGTTGCTCTAGAGCTCAAGAAGAATCCTGATGTACTGAGTAGGAATACCCTGGTTGCCCAGGGCTTCGATAACCGCTTCTGTCCCAACGGAGTCGAAGGCTTTCTTCAAGTCGATAAACGTGAGACATAGCGGCATCTTGTACTCTCGCAATACTTCGATGAGCTTCGTTATCGTGTGGATGTGATTGAACGTGCTGCTGAATCCTCTTCGGAACCCTGCTTGCTCGCATGGCTTCCTTCGTCTAGTGTTCTGCCAATCTTTTTCAGGATGACTCGTGTGAAGAGTTCGTAGACTACAGACAGCAGGCAGATTGGGCGATAATTGCTAATGTAGTACAGGTCTCCCTTCCCGTACAGCAACATAGTCTTGCTGTTTTCCACGAGATGGGTACCTTGCATTCCGACAGGTAGCGCAAGAAGAGTCGAGCCAGAGTTTTGACACGAACTGGGGAAGATTCTTCTGATGTTCGGGTCTGATCCTGTCTGAACCGGCTGCCGCACGATTCTTCACCGACGAGATGGCGTGTCGGACTTCGGAAGGGAGAACTGCAGGAACGACATATCCATCCTGCTCAGGCGGTATGGTGACAGGTGGACGTGGCTGTCAAAGAGATCCGAGTAGAAGTCGTGGATGACCTTCTCTATTGCCCTTCTGGATGCGGTGATTGTTCCATCCGGACGTCGGAGGGCGGTCATCATTGTCTTACAGTTAGCGAAGTCGCGGCGAGCGTTGCGTGTGCTTTTCTTCCCAGCCTCTGCGGCTTCCACCAGCAATGCTGCTCCTCTCTCCTTGAGGTCTTCCTTTATCGCTTTTCTGCACAGCTTCGCAAGCTCATAGGTCAGCTGGTTATTGCCTGCGGCTCGTGCTGCTTCAGGTTGGCGAAAACTTTGGTAGTTTCCAGAGATCTAGTTTAGCAACTAGTTTCCTTCTTAGTAATCTTGGAACTCTCTGACTTCTTGGCGCAGTCGTGAAGGCTTGCGACAAGCCGTTCGTATTCCTCGTCGATGTTGTCGATGACGGAATCCTCGCAGAGCCCAGCGAGAGGAGACAAGTGAACCCAGTTGGTGACGTCTTGGGGCTTCGCTTCTTGAAGTTGCGGCTATCGTCTGACTATAGGCAATTCAAAGTTGGGGTTCATTTTAAAATGTTGATCGGAGCTAACCACTTCTCCCCTGCTTTCAGAGGTTTGTGTTGTGGCGACCTATTACGAATCGCCTGCAGAGCTGATGTTTTGATCTCCTTTTTAGTGTGATAGCTTCTCACATTAGATACAATCGTACGTTCTATTGAAATATCGCCCACATATGCCAAAACTGAGACGGAGTAGGCGGGGCATTTGATCATAAAATAGACTGGGTTACTCGTGAGACATTTCAAATGGAGACAGCTGGCAGCTCTTTCAATGTTGAGCAGAGATAAGACCACAATTGTGTCAACATGAATTTATCTCTCCAGAATCATTGTAGACGCCACATTTAGATGAAGTACGCATCCACGCCCACCACATCTCAGGGCTTTCGTACATAAAAATAAGGTCGCAAAAAAGGCTTGCGACTCTTTAAACAAATTGCTTCAGGTAAAAATCAAAAAATATTCCTACTGTTTGCATCCCTGATTGGAGAGTGTTCTCCGAGGGATTCGGAGGCAGGTATATTTAGCCGCTTTGTGGTAGCCGAGGGAGTTAACATCTGCGTTGTCCTCGGGAAGGAGGTCGCTTGCCATGACACAGTGTCCCGCTTGGATCAGCACTTGCAAGCTGGACGTATTTTAGTCGAATGTATGCAACATATTTATTTATTTATTTATTTATTTATTTGATATACACTATATGAGTGTGCCAGAAAAAAAACAGTAGTCAAATAGTTAAAAGCCGAAATGATGTAGGCCAGACTCATAGGGAGCAAAGAGTCAATAATGAAATAGGGTCGAGTTAATGTGTAACCGTAACATAATAAACCTTGGCCTAAACCTGTAACCTTAACCGTAGCTTGTGTTAGAACGTAGCAGCGCATGCAAACGTAACGTCTAAGGACTTGAGCAACGACCCACACCAGTTGGCTATGGCGCCCTCATTCCAGTGGAAATTATTGGGAACATGCCAGCACTTCGGCGCACGGGTATACCAACGTCCCTCGTGGAACTGACATGGTGGATAGAAGCCGTAATAGAAAGACAAAAAGGCTTGCATGCTATGAAAGAAAAATATCGAGCACAAGCGTACGGAAAAAAGAAATCAGATGTGGGACGGAATCGTGGCGAATACAAATTGGTGCAAAAGAAGGATTCTTTCTAACCATAAGTGAATTTTTGTAGATTGCTGATACATTCTCTGAATATTATTTCTATGTAAATGGACGTTGTTTTATACTAATAGTTGAGCATAGGGCCCACTCCTTTCATAGTTTTCACATCTGCAAGTAATAAAGCAGACTGTTGGAAACCTAATGGTCTGTGCAAACGCCGCGCACATAGCGAAAAAATCGCGGGGCCCGCCTCTTCGTCGCGTCGCGGCGTTAGGCTGACCTCTTGTGGAGTCCTAACCGTTGCCCGGAGTGTTTACGACATGGCCGCATCCGTAGGTAACACCTTAGGCGACTGGAAACTCAATCGTGGTTTTCCCTTGGAATCAATTAGAAATATTAGGAAAATGCAGAAAATTTGTACACGGTTAGATTCACAATGAACATGGCTATCGACTGGTCTAATTTTCAGATCATTTGGACCTTTTCTACGGAAGTTATGGCAATGCAGCGGTTTGCGACAGATTAATCCGTCGCAAACTGTTGATTTTTATTAGGTTGTCCGGAAAGTTCTCAGCGTTTTTGTGCACCTATTTTTTTGACATTCCCTGCTGATTAAAAATTCATCCTGCCTTGCTTCTCGGTAACCCATCCTGAGCTCTGCTCTCTCTCTCTCTCTTCTCTCTCTCTCTCTCTCTCGTCTCTCTCTCTCTCTCTCTTCTCTGCTCGCGGGACACGATGAACGGTGAGTCGCTGATCGCTTTGGTCCGCGGTCGTCCTCGAAGCGCATGAAGTGCCCGGCCCACCTGACCTTAGAATCCTTGGCAAATACGGCGGCGTCTCTGATCTTCGATCGTTGGCGGCGTGCGGAGCTCCGAATTCCCTCTCTCACTTGCGTGTAGCGGGAAACTCCGAGCCGCCCCTTTCGATGACGCGTTGAATAACGCCAACCGCATGCTCATCCTGCTGTAGAGTCCAAGTCTCTGAGGCATAAGTCAAGGCAGGAAGGACCGCGGAATCAAAGAGGGTGGGCACGGAGCTCGGTGTTCTTCGTCTTCTTGGCCACTTTCTCGATGTTCTTGAAGGATCCCCAAGCCGCTCGCTTCTCCTACTCAGCTCTGTGCTCGATTTTTCATAAAAGGAACGTTTTGCACTAACAATAGAGAAGTCTGCTCGACATCCGCAGAAGCGGCGGAGAGACGAACAAGTAAGGAAATATTGAAGAGACAAAAAAATGCTCGATATTTTTAGTTGGATCAAGACGGAAGGCGCGGGAGATTTTCAAAGAAACAGGGAACACGACGGCAGAGCTGAGCCTTAGGAAGATATCAGGAAAAAGGGCTATGGTGGAGGATTGCTAAGGCATAGCAGATGGTCAAAATCCGTGGGAGTCCGTCAAATGTGTTTTGAATTAGTGAAAATCAGTTTCTGCGCAGTGGGCGATACCGGAAGAAAACCATACGGGGCAGGACTTTGTGATAAGAGCAAACCATCGAATTTCGTGGAAAGTGTTGAAAATTGAAATTAAATCTAATAGATCTCAAAAAAGGCGAATATCTTACTTACCAAGTCTTCGTTCATCCACTCGCATTCTATTTCCAATTCGGGCGAAACAGCAGGGTAATCGCGTGGAAGCCGAAACAGTAGACTGACTGGTGGCAACGCAGCCAGTGAAACAGCAGAGCGGCCTAAAATATAACCGCTGAAGGGCAGGAACCTGAACTTGCCAGAACTTGATCAACACATCCGCGGCGGAGATCATTTTGACCAGTACTCACGTTCCTCATTGTTTTTGGCATATTTCACACCTTTCTCTTTTTACTGGCGCATTAACTGTGCAAATAATTGCCAATAAAACATAAAAAAATTGCAAACATGTGGAAAATAGGAGCACATTCGTAGGACTGCACAGATGGCTGGAAAGAGGGGCTTTCGCATGTATCGGCAGTATTTTCATTGAATATTGGTATTCTATACTGGTACTCTCGAATGTGTTAAATTCAAATTGGTTCGAAAAACGAATGTGTCAGTATGTAAATTCCTCATGTCACTGATCGTAAAGAAATTTTGCCACTGATATTATGAAATGGTGCACTCACCTCTTTCAGAAGTAGCGAAGACGGTAACAGGATTACATGGAGGTTCCAACTCGACTGATATCCGACCACTGATGCACCCACTTTCTTCGATAGTAACTACCCGCGATTCTTCGTAGACACTGCGGAGGACTTCGATTTCATTCAACTGCTCTTCCCGCGTGTCACCAGACATGTCGCGATCAGCCTAATAAGAAAATTGAAAGAAAGAAAGAAAGAGTTGATCAATCCCATTGAAATACTTATTGTTGACAAGTGTTACAATTCAGAATTCAAGAAAATCATCGCTAGGCTTAACCTCTCAGAGCAACAGAATACTTAATTCAAACCTTTATACACTCAAAACAACTTTGTACAATGGTGACAGACGATCAACATCAAAATAGTATGAACACAGTAAATAATCCAACATTTTTGTGTCATTGAAACGTTTTCTTACTGTGAAGATCTCTCAGGATTTCATCGAGGTCATCATCTTCCAGTTTGTTTTCAAGAGAAGGAATCAGAGCCTGTAAGAGTCAGTCACATCTGTACAGGATTATTATGAACAGTTGCATTTATATTTATACCAAATGATATTTTTTCCTAACCACAATTACCTTGGCCTCCTCAGCTGTCTCAGGACATAAATTGACTATCTGAGCCACTTCGAACTTGTGCAAGGGCTTCTGAGAGAATATAGCACGGACAGCCTTAATAGTCTCACGATTCTTGAAGCGAGATAAACGCCGAGCGTAATTGAGAGTCTTGATGAAGACCTGAAAAGCTCTGTGAACAATCCCTTTCACTAACGAATTCGGTAAGCCTTTTAAAGGCGATGTCACCATCAGAGCGATACTTGGTTGCGCTTTTTACAAACTATCTTAGGTTTTTTCTAAAAGTATAGTCACGAAGCAAAAGTTCACATCTACATCCAAAAGAAGTCGTTTGATCACTTAGAAAAAGTCAGGTTTGTGAAGAGGAGCGAAGCCGGGCTTGCGATAAGAGAGTAAGCAAGAAATGCGGTTTATACGCTTCATATCGAGGGTTTTGCCACCTGCTTGCCCTGATACACATGCCTTTCCAGAAAGATGAAGACGCTAAGGGATATCACTGCTACATTAGACTTCCTTCATATTTTGCGACTAAGGGAACACGGCGATTCGAAAGACCGCGATACAAGGGAAGTATAGGTATTGATCTGGCGATTGGCAATACAGAATTTTGGAGACTGAGCGATCCGGCGATGGGACACTCCGCGTCTGGGACGACAACACGCCAGGGAAAGGATGGGTATGGACCGGTGCCGGATCGCCGAATCTCCACGAATTTGCCTGTGTGCTGTTGCCCTTCTCTGTGACTGGTCACTAATAGTTGCGTCAAACCCCCTCCCCTACGCCTTATCATTTTTTACCATTTCCTATGGTTGCTGTAACTCACGTCGTGAATCTGAAGGCTTCCCTCCTAAGCCTCTTATCAGATCCTAACAGCTGTTATCATTTCCTGCCCTCCATCAGAAGTGTTCTCGTCATTCTCCGTATATCTCTTGGGAATTACGTCCCACCGTCCTGCGACCTTGACCATGAACTTGATGACAGGCAGACGGACGCACATACAAACACTTGAAGACATACTCAGCGGATCATGTATAGCAGGACAGATCCCTCGTGTGTAAGATCAAAAAAATCACGCGGTAAAGCGAGGGAACATTTGCTTTATTCGGGAAGAAGGTGAGCCTTATAGGCAAAAATAAATCGTTAACCCTACGAAGACAACATTCCATAACAGTCTATGGAAGTTATTCCGTAAAATTTGCAAGTGGAATTGAAGCAGAATTTAAATGCGGTCGTAGTGCTGCTCGTGTTACAGCATTACAAGATTACCGCCGCCTATTGTAGAATGTTTTTGAAAGAATGAATGATTAATATCCACTTAGAAAGGTAGTGCGAACCTCACTCATGTCTTCTATTTCATCTTTTGCTTCGTTTTGCTGTCGCCTGTGCTCAAGTAATAAGAACACTTCCGAAGTGAGAAGTGCATCACAATTTTGGGATTCAAACTCTGGAACAATGACAATAAGCTTTTTGTAAGGTGTTGACAGATTTTTGTCCTAGGCCCGGTTTCACATTGTTATGCTATATAATTTACCTTTAGGAAAACGCATTTCCGTAGCATCCTCCTCAACAGTGTCCTCAGCAGTTTTCATCGCAGAAGACATGTTACCTGAAAAGCATAATATAAGAAAAACCATTTCCTCAAATAAGTAAGGTATCTCAATGTGTAAACTAGAGGTGTCGAAATTAGAGAGCAACGAAAATTTTCAAATAGCAACTCCCTGTTAGCCGGCAGCGAGCGGTCGCGTCGCGGCTTTCACAGTGGAGCTCATTATTCGGTCTTGATGGTAAGTGCAGAAAGTGGTCGCTTCAGAGCCACATTGTTCCAAAAGTTCGTTGAGACAGTCTTACGCCCATTGTGTGACTGAAGGAGTCACCTGTCGTTTAGGACACTCTTGACTCAAGGTGGAGTTTTTACATTTCACGCTACTTAGGAGCCCTTTACTGGGTCCCTGTCCCTCCCTTACATGTTTACATCTCCACCTCCCTGATTCTTTTCTTCGCGCGTCTTCTTGGAATCCTTTTCAACCCACCCAGTCTTCTGAGTCGGTCCGATGTAGGAGCGAACCTGAACCCTAGAAAAAAACAAAAATCTCGAGTCACATCGAACTGCTTATCGTACATTAATGAATAACGGAAAGATTTTCACCTTCCCCTCCACGCGAGAAAGTCCTCGATGACCGAGCCGTGTTGTATAATTATCAACCAGTTTGCTTTATTAGACTGGCTGACCTATCTGGGTTGTCACCGCAGGGCATTCCCCTATACTGTTCGTGAAGAAGATTGATAGCTGTTTTATGGGCTCATCTGCCGAAGCATCTAAAGGGGGGTTCAAACATGTAGTGAGTCAGGACATGAGCTGGGTGAGGGGTGAGTCACATAGCATGGGTGAAAAGTTGAAATGTGCTAGGCCGCAGCGGTCACGAACGCCACGCAGAAGAGAGAGCGCAGAGAAAAACAGAAACTCGGCACGACTAAAGGGCTTGAGTCCAAGCAGTCCGTAGAACATCCCAGAGTTGTTGCCGACCTAGAGGCACGTTCGGCTGCGCCTCCAGCATCAACTAAACGGTTATCATCCCTTGCAGGTGGCTGGCAATCGTGACACCTGTCATCGAATTAACTTTTATCTTTCAGAGAACATGGCGTTCACTGAGCAAGCTTGGTACCTTATAGTGATCAGAAACTAACCCGCGTTATTTTACCTCCTGAGTTTTAGGAAGGTTCCGTTATGAACACTATGAAGGGGAGTGTGGGATGGTTGTCGGTCTAATCACGACTGCAGCAAGCAGGAGAGTTCTATGGTTACCAAGGAAAGTCCGATTCGCCAACGGGAAGCAGCAGGCAGCTACCAGCCGACGTACGAGCTTACGAAGCTGTGCAGGGAGCGATAAAAGAAGACCTTGAGGTGAGAAGAGCAGCAGCCCAGGTAGAAGCAGCAGAGGCTGGGAAGAGCAACTGCAATGCCCGCTAAGACTTTGCTAACGGCAAGACAGAGATGATCGGTCCCCCGATCTCTTTGACTGTCATGTGCGGATGCCATGTACCGCTTGAAGGAAAATGGCTACACCGCTCCTTGAGTTCACTCTACTGAAGTTCAACATGCCATGTCGCCACGCGAGCAAGCAAGATTTCGGATTCAGCACGATCGATCACATTCACATGGTAATGGAGCTCATGGAAGTATCGTGAGAGTATAAGATACTGCAATGTCTCACGTTCAGCGACTTGAAAAAAGCCTTCGACTCCGTTGAGACAGAAGCGGTTATCAAAGCCCTGGGCAACCAGGGTATTCCCGCTCATTACATCAGGATCCTTTGTGAGCTCTACAGCAACATCACTACCAGGATCTCACTATTCTACAAGATCGTCATCGAGATCGTGAAGAGAGTAGTCAGCCAGGGCGGCACCATCTCGCTCAAGCTCTTCAGCGCGTCTATAGAGAACGTCAATTGGAATGGGAAGACATGGTAGTGAAGATCCGTCGGCAACTACGCCACCTCTGCTTTGCTGACGACATCATTCTGAACACCAAACATCGAGCAAGCGGAGCGAATGCTGACTGATTTCGAATGCGCTTGTGGTAAAATTGATCTGAACTGATAGTGAGTCAGAGGAAGTCGATGTTCATGTGGAACGGACTTGTCCCTGATGCCCTATACTCGCTCAGTGTAACGAACATCTCTGAATGCGTTAGCTCTGGTTCGCTGAGAATGGGGCGTAGCAGGAATGGATTTGGGGCGGCGTCAAACCCGTTTTCGACCAGTTATTAGAGTGGGAAAGCACCGCAAGACTGTGTCATGTTGAAATCAGTCGTTTACTTGCTTCAGCAGCTGGCGGAAAGCGGACTTGGCACCGCGCAAGGCACGGTACTGACACGATCTGTTGTCCGCAGCTAGCCAGGCACACACCTTATCCCTGAGGCGGGAATAGGTGCATATTTAAGCGATTCGACTGTATACCGTGTCCACGTCGACTCTCCATCAATCCCTATTTTAGAAACAATTGTCTTAATCCTATTTCAAATCATATGGTGTCAAGCAGTCTATGAAACGACATCGTAAACAGGGCCTTATTAGGAGATGCCGCTTTCAGCTGGCACCCTGAGCTTGAGGAATGATGTGAGCGCGGCACTAAACGAACGCAACACTAAAAAAGAGATTAAACGTCAGCACATTAGGCTATTCACATTAGATCGCCGCAACACAGACCTCTGAAAGCAGAGGAGAACGTGTCTAGCTCCTATCAACATTTTGAGATGAGCGCCGACTTTGACTTATATAGTTAGGTGACTAGCAACAGCTTGAGCAGCTACCATCTTATCAACATAAGCTTTTGACCATCTCATACAAGTCTCATACTCACTGAAAATGAGTCACTAGAAAGGAATGGTCCGATAGGGGCACGTTTGCTAAAGTTTCGCAATACATATTCGATCTCCCACAACATTTCCTCCACAATGTACTAAAACTTCACCAAAACCCTCCGATTACCACCTGCCTTTTTTCGAAAAAACTGATCGCAGACGTAAGATCGGAGGTGAGGGGAGGGGGGGACACACAGAGAGCATGTGGGAAACGAGAAAAAGCGAAGAAAATCAGCAATCAATCGCGAAAACATCCTCCACAAAGGCAAGTACAACCCGACTTCCCCTCTTCCCCCTTCAGCGACCAGTGTCGTGGTTCAGAGGCAGTCGCCCTTCAAACCCCTCAAAACACGACGCATCGAGATGGTTCAGAGTCCCCGTGAGCCCTAAACCCAGGCGCTCACGTCATCCTAGGAGTCCTCCTCGGGGACCACACTGGCCTCTCCCCAGTGCAGCCTCCGCTCCCCGAGGGTCTGCAGGGTTCCTATCCCGGAGGGTTGTGGGGGGATCTTGCGGTGGCACTGTCCTCACGACTGGTCTACCCCTGATCCGACCACGAGGGCCAGACCAGGGATTCCCTGGTCGTAGCACGCACAACCGCAGCATTTGACAACAGCACAACATGAACCTAGGCGCCTTAGTCGGGCCCCAGCCCTGGCGCTCCGCTTACCCTAACACACTAACAATGAACATAAACACAATTTATAAACACTCACATTTATTGGTGCCGGAAATCATGACATCGAACCTTCACATCCTAACCTCATTCCTGCCATAGTGGAATACCGAGCCGTCGTTCCATCGATGCCATTATAAACGGTAAGAGCGGCAAGCAACTCTGTCGGCCTGCGCGAGCGATGGTCCTCATGGCGACAGGTGCCATTCGGACCTGCGCTCCACGTGAGCCTGGCATTGACCTTCTCTACAGGCAGGAGAAGAGTATTCTCCTTCTCGCAGGGAAGTGTGCCAAGAGAGCAACGCAGTGCGGAGTCTCTCGCCGGCCGCCTTAAATAGCGGCACGCAGCGGGACATCACGTGGCCCGCGCCTATTGGTTGACGCGAAGCAGCGCATTGTATGGCCGTACGGCGCGACCGAGCTCAGGCGCCCGGCAAGCCCGGGGCAACAGTCGCGTTCCGCGACAACCAGATACGGCCAATTTTCCCGGGAAACTGCAAACTACGACGTGCCCTGGGCCTTCGATCTCATCGGCGAGCTGTATGCGCAACCACTTTAGTCACTTCATTCGCGCAAAATAGCTCGCATTACTTGGAACACGTGATGTGCGAGTGTCCGACTGGGCACAATAAAAGGTTTGGCGGTTGAGGTTACTTGACTCAATGGCTTCAGTGAGGAAGGAAATATTACCACTACGGTTGTTCACTCTCATGAAACTGGGGAGACGCTATCTTCAATTTCGCTGTCCAGAAATAAGAGTTTGCTGACTAAAATTTGAGAGACAAGGAGAGCAGAAATTGTACGATCTTTCCTGGCCAGTCGTGTTCTTCTATCCTGTAATAAAGGATTGAGTGGCATTGTGCAAATTCATCCTTTCTATGAGACCGAGTCCAGCAGCGGATGTGTCACTGAGTATCTGTGAAGGGGACTACTAAAGTGGTTGCGCATGCAGCTCGCCGGTGAGATCGGACCCAAGGCACTCATCTTTCGGTTTCCCGGCGTGATTGCCCGTATCTGGCCACAGGAAGGGGAAGAGAGGAGGTCAGGGTAGTAATTGTCTGAAGGATGTTTTCAACGTCGACTTTCCTCAGATTTTCTGTTTCTCATGTACGTTCTATATCACCTTAGCCCCACCCCTTCTCTCCCCCCTTCTCACCCCACACTCCCCGCTCGCAACAGTCTGCAGTTTTTTTTAGAAAAAAGCTGGTGAACATAGGTGGAAAATTGGAAGATTGTAGGGAGGTTTTGATTAGGATAAGGGGTAGGGAAATGGGGGGGGGGGTCGTACTAGAGGAGGAAATGTGAAGGGGACAGTATTTTGCGATATTTCGGCAGGACGTGCCCCATCGGACCATTCCTTTCTAATGACCCGTTTTCAGTGAGTATGAGACTTGTATGAGATGGTCAATAGCTTGTGTTGATAAGGTGGTGGCTGCTCAAGCTGTTGGTAGTCATCTAACTATCATGTATCACCTGTGCTCCCGTTGATCATCGAATTGCTCGAGCGGCCTCCATTCGAACGCCTCCATTCGTTCCTGCAACGTGCAAGAGTTGTCCAATGTTCACTTTTTATTTTTATTCCGAAGTAATTTAGAGGGAACGGTAGAACTTGAACGAATACAAAATACCCGCTACTTATTCAGTGAACCACGGGAGGAGGCCATGTTTAAAGACACATGGTACGCTCAAACACACTGAGAGTGTATGAGACTATCAGCCCCCCAGCTGTCGATGTGTCGTGGTCCCCCGCCCGAACATGCAATGGAATGGAAATACAGAACCGTGAAACACGCTAATTCCTCCGTACGCCAGCGTGCCGCTGGTGACGCTGGTGAAGCTAGATCGATATGCATCCTCTCTTCGGCACTGCCGCTGGCGTACGCTGGAAGCCTACGCTACGCTGCCGCAAAGTATAAACGCAGCCTTAATCGATCCCTTCGAGGGATGCGGCACGCATTCTATGTCATTCAGAATCGTAGTGGCTTACTGAATGCGATTTGGCCTATACGTGACTTGCGGGGTCAGCTGATGCAGTCAGCGTTCTTATCCTCCCAGAATCCAGAACCAATTTACCGCCCCCCCCCCCCCCCCCCCCCCCCCCGGGGGTAAAAGGCTTGGCTGGCCTCGGCGGGTGTCGACCTGGGATTCGAACCCAGGAGCGCGCGAGTGGTAAGCGCACCACTTATCACTACAACACCTCCACCTCCGTAGTAAGGGTAAATAGTCGAACGATCAATTGCAAGGTTGTATGCTATCGAGATCATGCTCGCGGCTCCATTTGGGTCAACCCTCTTTTCAGTAATTCCTTAGAGCTGACAAGAAACTTCGTCAGGATAGTGACTGGCCATACCAGATACTCCTGTAGACTACCTTTTGGTGGCAAGTTTTTTAACAGAATTCCTCACTTACTGGAACAGTGCCCAAGCAGTGCGCGTCTCAACTTTGGCCTCTAGTTTCCCTCAGTAAATGTTTGCTCTACTTCAGTGGATGATTTCACTAATGTAGCTAAGTTTTGTGAACAAAAGATTATTCCCAGGTTGAAAAGTCGTAGTTGAAAGCGTGACCAACTACATGCAAGTACCATCTGTTCCACCTTTCGAGGCGATGACGCTAACAATTCGAACGCAATACCACCGCAATTGAACGTTTACTTTAGCGAGTTTGAAAGATGTTTCTATCCCACACTGATTAACAGCATGCAACATCACCAAAGTGCTTGAAGCAAGAGTACAGAAAGGTAGATCAGGCCTATGCTTAATCGAAGTCCTCACAGAGACATCCAAAACACACCAGTCATCTTCCACCCAGACAAAGAAAATCATCGGCGCAGTTCAAATGTAGTTTCAACGCCCCTTTGACTGACGGACAATTTAAAGGGCGCTGTTTTAGGTTACGGTATCGTGACGGTAATACTGAAGTTAGCTTCATGTCAAAAACCCACCGTTCCTTCTTCGTTGAAGTGAGCATACGGATTGTTCCTATCAAGAATTCGTTCACACAACCAACAAAACATAACATCACATTTCGTACACTGCATTTTGTTGCATCCCTCGTTTTTCTGAATACCAATGGTAATTGAAAACAAAGTTCCCACGCTTCGCAAAAGATATTACCTCAATTCGTACGCGACATCGGGGACAAGGTTTGCTGTTTCCTTCCATCCATCCATCATTGAGCAATGTATTGATGATGTTCTGATATACAGATTTAGCGCGAAAATTCCTAGCAAAAGACAAACTCGATAAGGCATCAGGCGAAGCTGAGCCTACCTCCAAGTTCTTCATGCCACCAAACCGTCTTGCCATTTGTGCACGTCCGGACTCGTCAGCTTCGTTCCACTCCTCGATAATCCGCTTCTTGTCCGCTGCAAAGACGAAATTTGATAAGGAAAGGAACAGCAGAAGAACGGGTATAAAATACGTACCGCTGTTGAATTTACATTCGTCAATACCATGATAGGCGCGAAAGCATAAAACACAGAAAGAATAACCACACATCCCACAACTGCCCAGATTGACGGTTCTGAAATTCACGATAAAAACGCGGATTGCAGTGACCCAAAAGAACAAATGAATGTCAAATGGTAACTAGAGTTGTAGAACAAATGAATGTCAGATGGTAACTAAAGTTGTAACCCTTCTTCTAGTGTACCTTTCGCTGACGAGCACGGGTTTTTGGCATGTCTTACGAGGACAGTTGACGACATCAGACATTTGACCCAATGTCCGTTCAAGCAAAATCCGATCATACCGCTCAAATTCTTCCTTGAGAAATTAGTCGATTGGTAATTAAGAAGAATGAAGTATTTCAGTGTTGCCCAGTATTTACCTCGCCTATGATGCTACGAATAGTTTGTTCACAAGCTGTCGATTTACAGTCGGATGCAGGACATCCCAATTCCTTTACCTAAATTATTAACAAGTTAAATGTTACCAGGTTCTATTATCAGAATAGAAACAAAAATAACAGCAGAACCTCCAGATTGTTCAGGCGCTCTGTGAAAAAACTCAACACGCATTCTCTGCAGAATACATGCATACACGGCTTGAATCGCACACACTGATGACCCATCTTATTTTCGAAGCAGATCTAAAAATAAATGTGACTGAGATGCTTTGAGGCTAGAATTTCTTTTACACAGCACAAACCTCACAGTCGTAACACCCACTTTGAAATAACAAATCTTCTGATTTTGAGCTAGAATCAGCAACTCGATTCACCAGTTCACGACCTTTCAGGTTCTGAAACATGCGTATGTCAATCCACAAAGGTGCTCTTCTCGAAAAAGCAAATATACTATGGGAAAACAAGAAGAAAGTGAAAATGGTCATAAAAGGATAAAATGATGAAGTCTTCGTCGTTAATCAAATCCTTTGTGGGATGCGGCACGCATTCTACTTCTATACAGGATCGTAGTGGCTTACTGAATGCGATGTGGCCTATACAATGACTTGCGCGGGCCAGCCAATGTACAAGTCAGTGTTTTATCCTTCCAGACGAATCCGGTACCAATTGGCCGTCCCGGAGAATAGAAGGCTTGGTTGGCCTGGGCGCTAGTCGATCCGGGATTCGGCCCGGGATCGCGCGAGGGTAAGCGCGCCACTTGCACTACACCACCTCCGCCTCGAAAATGGTCATATAAATAAAAATGGATGAAAGAAGAACTAATCAATCATCCTTGCAACAAAAAATGTACACGCTCTTCCCTATCTGTAGCAATCATTGGCCCAATAACAGACCATACATTCCCCCTCCAAGGAACGATAAGCCCTCACGCTCGATTCAAGGGAATTCACCACTTCGAATACCATTATATGGCAAAAATCACTTCTACCCAGAGATATCGCAATTATTCTAGTGAGAAAAACTTACATTTTTTCTTCCATAAGGAGCGTCATCGAGACAAATCTCTTTAATGGTTTCGATTTTGTTTCTGACAACTTCAATAACCGTCTCGCAACAATAGTATAGAACACTGAATCCAAGATTTTCGCTGCAAACGTCTTTGAGTTTTGATTCTATGGATGATATCTGGAACATCACGAGTTAGTTCTCGGTGGATCACTGTACAAGTCAAGGTAAAAAGACTGGCCTCTAAGTGGACTCGCCCGCAAAACTTAAAGTCACGCTGAACGAGTGTTTAAAGCTATCATCAAAATTCAAACGTTTCGATATTTGTGTTAGAGAAGAGGGTAGCGATAGGCGTCGGTTTACGAAGGTTCGATTCAACTCCTCAGCGGGACACGCTTTGCGGAATTCAGCTGTTAGCTGCAAAGGGAGCAGGGTAACTCTAAGGTAATATGTGTGAAATCTGAAAAAGTAGAGGTAACACCGACAAACCTTCGCACTGAAATGCATTGTCGCTTCCGCGGTATGTGCGTCATCATCCTCATCATCAGATATCAATCCTCTTCGATACATTTAACTTCCTTCACCCCAAAAATATTTAAAAATCTAATTGCTAAACACGCAGAAAGCTTTCAAAGGGATAAAATACTAGTCGTCTCCAAACGACTATGACATCAAGGCTGGCAATATAAATACTCTTTATGTACAATAGGCTACACTATGAACCTACCAATAAACAAAAACCAAACGAGCAGCGAGTAATCTCAAATTTTAAGCAAAATGAACGACGATGGAGCCGCGTGATCATTGGTTGTGGAACCTTGCCTGCGGAGGTGCTTGCTCAATATTTCTACACAATTACTTGGAATATTAGAATCAAGCACTCTGTTTTTCTCGTTGACGTCGTGCCTCCTCGAAAGCCATCTGCTGTCCTGAGAAAACGACTCGTAGCTCCATCTTTTCGTTTTTGAGCGAGAAGCTGCTCTTTGAAACTGAGCTATTGCAGCATCGCCCTCTCTTACTATCCGGCACCTTGTACCCTTTCATCTGAACAAAACCACTATGTTCCTAAAAAAGTCACGGAAAAGTTGCCATTAACCTACAAACACTTTGAACAATGAAGGTTGGTTGAAAAACCAGAATGCGGGCAACTGGAAATGTAACCATCAAAGCGAATCGCCCTGTTTCAAGCTTTCCATCCACCCATTAGCCTGAATTGGACCAATTTAATAAATCTAAACATTTTCAGATTTCGAGTAAGAAGTTGATGGAAACACAGCTACTCACTGAATCAAACGAAAGCAGTATTCATAAGCTTTATTGGTGGGGAACGTCACCGAGTACGGTTTGTAGACATCTGATAGAAGCTATTTATATGAACAACAAATGACAAATATATTTCGACCAGGATTCAAAAGGCAAATTATTTACCCAATCACAATCTAGTATATATCACTAGCATTCTTAGGCAGGATAACACACACCTGTTCAAGTTGCACAAAAATTACAACTTTGTTTATGTTAGAACTATGTCAAGCACCGAAAGAGTTACAGCTAAGATGAGAGAACAAGCCTAAGCGTGATTACCAGTAAAAAGAGCCACCCCGCTCAAGAGAGAAAGAGGTGAGTAATTATCAGTCAGACTCTTCACTATCCTCTCGCACAAATTTGGACCTCAGGGTCCGGAGTCACTGTCGGATTCATTCCCGAAGTTTGTCACAAACCACGAAGTCTTCATCATCACTGTCTGAAGCACGATGCCCTCGAAAAGCCGGTTCATGCAATTACCCTGAAAGTAGAAATCTAAATGTCTATTCAAAATGTAACATCCACATTTTTGTTTAAGTACTTTCTCCGATTCATTCAGACGTTGTATTTCTTTCTCAGCGTTTGACAGCTGCCTTTTCAAGGTGTCAACTTCTTCTTTCAGCTCCAAAACTTTGACACTTGGATTGATAACTGAAATAGGGGAATAACTCATAAAGCATCTTTGAATACAAAAAGTGCCTCCCTGCACTCTAGTTCGCTGCGGACGGTTGGGCGTGTCAGCCAGAATGAGTGTGCACAGCAGCAAAACCGTTCTCTGCTTTTTTGCTAAAGCGCGCATGCGACAAAAAGCGGTAGAAAACGAATAATAGGAACGATATGATACAGCATTGTCACTTGCTCAACTTGGCATTGCTTCAACAACCGGTGGGGAACGAATTTGGCACCGCGCCAAACGCAGCCGCACTGACACGCCCAACCGTCCGCAGCGAACTACACTATGTTTCAATTGGCGGTCCTGTGGTGAGGCTATTCACACTTCGCTACAATACAACGTCTTGAGGATTTGGGAAAAGATTTGCGAAGTAGGACCTCCCTGAATCATTCTCCTCTTGTACTACCCCAGCCCACCTTTTCGGCATCGCAGGGAGATAACGACGAGCGCATGTGTCGCATTGTTTGCTGCCCCCGCAGCGACGACGCGGCGAAAAAAAAAACAAAAGCCAGCGCTGCACCACTGCAGTTATACGACAATGAACCTTCTGGTTTTTTGCCGATGGATGGTAAACAATGGTAGGACAAGGCGGCTGGTAAGAAGTAACGAATGATACTGATCAACAGCACTGAATCTGGAAGGCAGGTGAAAGGCACATTGCGAGAACAGGCGGAGCATTAGAAATAAGCTGATTCCATTAAGTTTACTGACTGCAGTTGTTAGCGAGTGGCGGCGCTATCGTCCGAAAGCAGACAGTTCGATAAAGAGCAAATCTATCATATCGCAGTGACTGCAGCGCCTGTTAGTGTCTTGCCTATCCCCGCACCATTGCAGCGACATCGCTCGTCACGCGACACATGCGCGCCACCGGCGACTTTTTCTCTCCCTCTCTTCCCCATCCCATCTACTAGCTTACTAACATCTTCTCAGCGGTAATACACCTCATACCTACATCGAATTGCGACTTCTCGCTGGAGATCCCCAGCCTACGAGGGCCCTTAGGGCTTAATTTCTAACGACAAAGCGCTTCTAGTAGAGGAAAGGTACAAAGCGCCACTCGTCCCTATCAGTTGAAGTAGACACCATCTTCTGAAGAGACCATGCGACATTTATATCAGCAGTGCCTTTTAGTTGGGAAACCACACGGGGTCCCGGGTATTCCAACGTCGTCCTGATTTCCTAACGAGAGGATAGGATGACACTTCCGGATAGTATATGATACTCACTCCTCGGAATCAATGAAGGAGATGATGACTGTATTCGTTTTTCACCTAACCTTCATGGACGTCAGTTACTTGCTACTCTTATGTGGAAACCCTCGTTCCAAAAACATGTACCTTCAAAGATCATTGCTGTATCATTTGTACTCGAATCGTCATCTTCGTCACCATTCGATGAGGCACTCTTCTGTGTGAGGCTCTTCATATATTCCCTTACGTCATCTGAAACAGACTTATATGAAATCTACCAAATCTGTCTGGTAGTGTGCGTTTGGATGTTTGACCGCAAATTCATAACATTCTTCGATTTGGGTTCGAATTAATAACTGGTAACGGAGACATGTATTACAGGTAAAAGAAAGTGATATCGACCGACGAGGACAGATGAGGGACACTAAAAGGAAAGCGCCGCTGAATTCATGCGTCATAGCAACAGGACGCTGGTTTCAAGAAGAGATGGGAGAGGTGCGACGATTACATGGTGGGTGAGGAGGGGAAAACTATGGGTAACAACTTCAAACAACCTCGTTCATCGTTCATATCCTTGTCCAGCTCCTCTAGAGTCGTTGAGGCATCCCTGAGAAGATCGCAAAGATTCCCTAGAAGCCCGCTAATTACGAAAGAAGACGCGAGAAGACCAAAACTGAGCATTAGGTAAGAATAAACCTTGAATATCTTGAATATTGTACTCAGTTGACGTCCAAGCTGACGTTAGCTGAAATAAAAAGAAGTTTACGATCAAAAAAGTAAGACCACCTTCAGCCAAGCGAACTCATGGCTGTCCCAACATTGTTGATTTCTTACGATGTTTCCGATTTCTGCGCAGGACTGTCCCAGTTCTCTACTTTCTGATTAAGGCAGTGTTCAGTGAGCACTCAACTACGCTAGGATCAGCCTTTGAAAAAAAAACATTTGACTAGAGTCGCAGCGGCCTGGTTTCGCAGCGCTCCCTCCCCCCCCCCCCTCCGAATGGGCGTTCGCCCTTTGTTTTTCAGTCTCATAAACCTGCATGGTTCCACACTACTCCACAACGGAGGTGGACAAGAAGCATTGTTCATGCCCGAGGGCAACAGAAGGCGTGGCTATTTATTTCATTTTACTCACTTCTCGCACACATTCGTTTCTGCCTCTTTTTCGGCTGATCCTCAACGCCCGCGCAGCCGCGCCTCTTCTGCCCTCAGATCAATGGTTGTAGACTGCGAAGTAACTGGTATGTGAGCGGCATATTACTCTCTCCCAAACCTTTGTTCAGGTGGGTTCTACCTCGGATGTTGCAGTTTGGGTTAAGATAAAGAACTTGCTCATTGTGATCACACATTCGCTTCTGCCACAAGTAAATTACGTACAGCTGTTTTCACGTTTCCCTTCAACAATCCTCGGCGGCGAAGTTCACTTTCTGCGACCATCAATCTCGCTTTTGCACATTTAAAATAGCGATGGAATCGAGTGCTTGCTTCATGCCATTCGTCCCGAGAATGCAGTACCTGTTTTAAAAAACAGTAACAGATAGACTTCAAAGACATTCACAACCTGCAAACAAGAACTCGTACCTTGTTGAGCTCAGTTCTGACATTCTCGATTTCCACGCTGTGACTTTGCCTAATCAGTTCTTTCCTCAGATTCAGGATTTCCTGTTGCAGTTGGTCCACGTGCTGCTTTCCATTCTCAAAAGAGCATAAGAGATAAGCATGGTTTTTTTTTTCATTGTATTCTATCAGTCAACAATACTGTTCACTACTAGTATCAGCACTACGCCAATCGGCAGCCTTTCTGCCATCACGAAAAGTCCACGTTAGAAAACTCCACCGTTCTCCACGCCGTCAAAGAGGATCCGGAGGTTAGCTCTAGCACCTGCAACCTCGCAATGAAACTTGGATATTGCGATAGTTCTAGACTGCCTCCGGGCCCTCCGCACAGAAAAAGTTTTGACATTCCCTCCCCCCTCACCCGTTTCATAGCCATTCTTTCTTTTTTTTTTAAAGGCAGTGGCGAAAGCATTGAGTCTGACCGTGCAGAATGTGAAGACTTTGCGCACGCTGGACAGACCTTCAAAAGACACTTATAGTCTTCCGATGAATCGTTCAGCAAGATGCCCAGCTGTAAGCTTCAATGAAAGCTTCTGACTGTGCTCGCTGTTGTAGGAAGCAATCCTCGAGGGTAAGGGCCTATGCCTGCTAGGAACTAAATATTTTCTTCTCGAAGAACATAACTTTGGCACGGATCAACTTGTTCTGAACCGGTATCGAATGATGCCAGCACTGATACGTTGAATATCTTCCAGCGTTATTGGTTAAGATGTAAGCAACTTCTGTACGCGTTTGTTCATTCCCCACGTCCATCGTCGTTTGACAGGCTTCTCTAACATGAGGTTTTCGAGTTTGTATGCCTGCACGTACGTACTCATATATCCATGTAACACCACACAGAGAGCACATCGTTGTTGGGGAATCCCCAATAGGGGGTCGTACTTTTTCCGCCAGGAGGAGGGGGGGGTCGTATTTGGGCTGAGAAAAATTGGTTTTGATAGTTGATTTTCTCGCTTCATAAACGCTTGTAAAGGGAGTGGGTCGTATTACGTTTTGGCGTTGTGGAGTGGCGGCTGAACTTTTGGTGATAATTCCTTTTTCACGTACTATAAAATTCCCCCCCCCCCCTTCCGTTCGAACAGCAAAATTTTTTGGTAAAAAGTAGGGAAGTTTTCGGGGAATTTTGGAAAAAAGAGCAGAAAGTTGGGGAAAACCTGATAGAGGGGGGGGGGTCGTAATTGTCTCGCGGCTTTTCCTGGTTCACTATTTACCCCACCCCCGCCCCCTCTCCGAGGGCTGGGAGGGGATCTTACAACTCCCCAAAAAAGGGGAGAGGGTCGTATAGAGTCGACCAAAAATCCCAACCAATGATGTGCCCTGACACCAAGGCCGCCTTCCTATTAATCCCGTTCGCTTCAATATGTTGAGCAGATGAAAGCAATACAAGCATCATGGTAGCGTTCACTTGCGGACGAGTGGGCGCGCTGGGCGTCCGGGTCGGTGTTTGCAGCTTGATAGAGCCTTCCGAAAAGCGCTAACACAGCGCCTGCTCAGGAGCGCGGAATTCCGTCCTGCCAGGCGTATTCATCCTACTCGTCTCTGGGACTTAATCGTGCCACCTGCCTTTGAGGTCGCCAACAACATAGTTTGCAGTAGCTTCTCTCATTGTGTACCATCTCTTCCAGGAGTTGGTAGAATTCTTCGCGGTCCTCGTCTGTGACTGAGGAGTGTTTGTCTATATCCACTGATGATAGTTAAGGTACCTTGATTTTTGGCCTGAAGACTTAGAAACTGTGGACAGATATGTGGAAACGATTTCGTGAGAGCCGACTAGGAGGACCTTTGCCGGGTTCCCGAAGAATTCAACTGCTCTGATTGTTCTTTCCATGTCATTTGGGCTGTAACGATGAATAGTTTATAGAAATTGGTTTTTTGTAATGGTTAACGTTCTGCCCTTCTTCTCTTGCGAAGCGATAACATTCGTATTGATGTGATAACTCCTCAACAAAAGCTGTCGAACGAAGCTCTGAGTGAAGCAAAAAAAGTAAAAATACTGTACCAGGGAAGTCCGCCATCTTACCATGTAACTTTGTATGGAGACCTGTTTAGATCGATAGTCTATAATGTTATTTACAAATATAGATAGCAAATCTGCAATCTGCATTTCACAAGCAACTTATAAGCAAGTTTGTAATGGTGCAGTAGGGTGGAGGCTTGGTGATGGCTGTGAACCATAAGCGATGAGTCGCACACGTCGAATCGAGTCATGGTGGTCCAGTTGTAAGGTTCGGCGTTCGACGACTTGATATGACGTTTGCTATTCCTCACTTATGCTTCACAGTTCACCATCAAGCCTTCACCATACTGCACCACTATCCAAAATTCCATGGTAATTTGGCGGACTTCCCTGGTGAGAATCCCGTGCTCCAACTTTCCCTCAGCTCATGAAACAGTAAAAAAAAACTGCAGTTGTACCTCTGTAAGTTTACGTTGTAAACCTTCCACTTCATCGCGCACAGCTAGAAGTTCTCTTTGTTTATTTAATATCTCAGTTTTCTTTTCTTCCACTGTCCTGAATATAAAGATATTGAAAGAAGATTCCTGAGGCTTTCAATCATGCTCTGGGCAAAGTTCACCTTGTGAGGTGCGAGCACATCTCCTTTTGTCCATGTAGAGAATTTCTGAGCTCCTCGCTTACAGCAGTTCTTAAAGAATGTTACAGTGCTATAAAAATGAAACGCGAAGGAAAAAAATCAAGCTCACGTTTCATCCACTTTCCTGATCAGCTCATTTCGTTCATTCTTGAGCTTGTCTATTTCCTCCTTAGCGTTGTTGATTTCGGAATGGGCCAAACTCAACCGTTTTTGCAACGATTCCTTACTGAACGGAAAATATCAGCTCACTTCTGACCATGAGTAGAGTGAAATACGAAACCGGAAAAAACTTAGAGCAATTTTAATACTCACTCCCCGTTGAGATCTTGGATTCGTTTTATTATTTCAGCAGAACGTCCCTGAGAAGTATCAGCGATGTCGAATAACTTTTTTGCACAAGCAGATCGCAAGGACTGTTGTTCTGCCTTAACAAATAGTAGACAATTAGATAAGATACCGAAAAGATTCGAAATACTTGAAAACAAACTAGTATTTCTTCCATATTTCTCCCCAACATAGTGTATTTTTGCTCAGCATTGTTTCTCTGTTCCTCCATCAACATAGATTTCTGAGCACGATCACTAAAACCAGTAGAAACGGAATACGGATAGGTGCGAATAAGAGATTAAGAAGCTGACCACCCACTATAATATACTCAAACGATCCTGCAGCCGACTGTTTTCGAGTTCTAAGCGCTGTATTCGCTCGTCTTTTTCGTAGTCAATAGAGGTATTGGCGAGCGTGCTGTTCAAAATTGATTCGCTAACATTGAAAACCATCGACTGTTCAGCTGGAATTTGAATTAAGAATACTCAGTGCACTGGCGTTCAAAAAGAAAATACCTTCATCCGAAGGACCAATAGGAGAGATGGAATCACGAATTACGGCTTCTTCAGGCTCTGAAAGGTGGTGATCACAGCAACTTCAAGACTTCTCTATTTACGATAATCAGAAGTCACCAGAAAACAAGGTAAAGAAAGGGTCTGCGACTAGCCAAAGTGCGAGACCTCTTCCTCACATGACAACACACCACACAAATGAGGAAATTGCTGCATAAGGAACCACGGCTTTACCATGGCATGTTTCCAATATCGCAATCGCTTCCTGCCTCTATATTAGAAAGCTAGGTGAGCCTCAATGTTTATGGAATGTTCAGATTCGATTCCTCGTCCATACCCAGAATATATCAGGTTACACTTCTAGAACATTTCCTGAGAATCTCGAAAGTATACATATCTAGCAACTAATCCTCAGTATAAGCGCAATGTAAATTTCGAAAGAGCACCTTTAAGACAACATCCCCAATGTATTGCAGTGAGGCGACAATGTTCGCTGGCAGCACTAACATCGCATAGGGAGCGGCAGCGGGAGTAGAGACTATGTGGCGTGAGAGACGCGGGATCGACGTGTTATTGTAGGACCATCGTGGCCGTCGCGAGACGCAAAGCGAATGTGCAATTGTAAGCAGACTAAGGCGCGCAGTGAGAGACGGCGCATATCGATGTGTTTTTGTACCCTCCAGCTCTCCCATAGTCTCTACTCCCCTGCCCGCCTGCAAACGCTTAGCAACAACGCTGGGGAAACGCCTGGAGAACGCTGTCGCGTACCGCTAGCCGTGCGGCTAGCGTGACGCCAGCGGGCCGCTGGTGACGCTGGTGAAGCTAGGACCGATATGCAATCCCTCTTTCTCGGCCACTGCCGCCTGGCGTACGCCTTGGAAAGCGCCTAACGCTACGCCGCGCTACCGCGCCCGCAATAGTATAAGACCGCAGCCTTACTAAATTTACTATCAGAATCCACTGGTATAGCTATGAGGCATTCAAACGTCCAGCAACAACTGTTCAATAGTGCGCGAAAAATCGAATAGTTGTCAGACTAGAATAAATCATGAGGTACCTCAGAATGTGCCAAATAAATGGCAACATATCCATTATATTCAGTGCGCAGACTACAAATGAACCCCAGCGAGAACAGCGAAGTCAAAAAATGAAAAAGCCTCCGAGCGCAAGGGAGCCCATCAACCCCAGCCTCACTGTCCGCTTGCGAAACCTGCGCACTCTTCGCCTAGGCATCCGATGGCCTTGGGCTATGCGAAGCGCTCTAATCGATTGAAGAAACCATAGCAAAGAGGCCTCGGCCAGCTTTAATACACACTGAACCAAGTCCCGAAAGCTCACTTGCCGGCGATTTTTTCGCTTTCGATTTAAATAGTCCCTTCGTAAGACCCCCTAGAAAAACGCGAGAGTCACCAACTGGTAAAGTGCAACGTGACCTACGCGCTGTATAGAGGCCAGAACCGTGAGGCAGAGTTCACAAGATTTCTTATTCATTTGTTTTTACTCATTCTGGCAAGCGCGCAGCGAAATGAAGCACACCTTTCAGGTAATTCAGAGACCCTAGCGTTATCAAAACCCGTTTCCGGAAAAAGCGCACCACGCGCCTGAACGACCTCCCTTGTAGTGAAATACTGAATGTTGCCTAAGAATCAAACAGAGAATTGAAAATCCCCTCCCCAAGCAAAATGGATCGTCGTATCTTGAGCATTAATTTGCCTTAGCCCTCTTTCTGAACCTCGATGATCACTGCGGACAATGTCGTAATCGTAGAACTGCTCGGCAGGCTTCATCGTCGGGGCAAACACATTGTCCTTGCCGTCGTGAGAAAAACAGCTGTAGATCGAACACTTCATGAGGGTGTTCGTCGTTGTTGTGTCGAATGTCCGCTCGCATCTGGTTCACGTGCCGATGCTTCATGTGCTTCTTCTGCGGGTACTTACGTAGGTAAGTGGGTTCAGACAGCGAACGTACCAGTTAATCCAGGATAGCTTCGGGTCCTCGCGTTGTGACTTGTCATGACGGCCGGTCGTCAATGCTGAGACTGCCTGCGCGTCTTTCCTCCTTTTTTTGTTGTGTAAGAAAAAGTGCAACAGTACTAACCTTCTTGGAAATAAGTTGGCAGAAATCGAATTCTTCCTTTAGATGTAGTCTAGACCAATAGCATGCGCGTGCTCGGCTATAATAACAGGCTCGTCTTCGGACTATCAGCTGACATCAGAGTTGTCCTCGTTGGCCAGCACTTCAGCGGTCACTCTAGAAATCGAAGTTTCGAACGGCCAGCAGCCAGGTCAAGTCGCTAATTGCTACAGCAAACACGCTTTTCGCTACAGTGTCAAGCACACATGCCGTAGTCGTCTTTTCTCAATTTGCACTTTAGGGTGATGGCCTGCAATAAGGCAGCGACGCTTTTTGGTATGCGATTGAAGCGATTGGCAATGTTGCTGGCAGATCGCTTCCATCCGCGTCTTCTTCCGATTCCGTTCGTTGAACATCTTGCAGAATCTTCGCTTGTGGCCCTATCCGACTCCCAGTTCGTCACACACTTGTGCTCGATGACGGGCCAATTTGGTCGACCGGTGCATGGGTCACATAGCAAAAAGCAAAATGGCGCTCGTTATTTACGCCCTCATAGCTTGCTTTTGCTATGACGCCATTCTAGCCTGTTGAGAATTCAACGGTATGAGTATTGTATTGTGGATGATTCCTACGAGTAGTGCCGGCAACTTGCGAAGGTAGGGAATTTGCTGAATTTCAAGTGCGAAGCCCTCCTTTAGCGTTTGTCCGTCTTAACAACGTGCGGCGGAGCACGTGTGCGATGTCGGCCTACTAGAAGGTAACCATTCCGCATAGCCATAGGGAGCAAGTCATCTGGTTCAGGACTGACGGTCGTTGAAATCGCGCCACTGAGTGTCCGTCTGAATGCGAACCCTTTCGGTTAACTCTCGAAGGTTTTCTCAATTTTGCGGACACTTCCAGGCTACACGTAGCGTCGAGTTTGGGCGACGGTAAGTAGTCATGTGAGTTGTCTGCGTGCCACCCGTCTAAGCGATGGGTCTTGTTATGGCACTGTACCACAGTTCAGTTTGTACAGCCATATGTGTAAAGACGTTAAACGAATTCAACTGTTCATTTCGCGATGAGACGGGGGAGTCATGACCAGTTCGGACCGTTGTGATGGGAGCCTGTGTGGAGTGCCAGGCGCCGAAGCGGCAACTATACCTTTCATGTAGCGTATTAGCTCGCTGAACAATCCACTCTTGCCATTGACCAGAACCTCCTGCTGCTGCTTTTAAGACAAAGTTCGCGCATAAACTAAAGCGCTAGAACCCTCATGAACGTGCATGACGATCAAGCAGGCAGCAGTTTAGAGCGATAGCTTTTAAAAGTGAAAAACACAAGCAGAACGCATTGCTCATGGTTTTAAAGCCCCATTGCGCCCGATAGCCTCATGCCGGCCTCCCAGTGACGTGTCGTTTTTGACATTGCCACTTGCGCTCCCTCTCCGTCATCTTTCTGGCCATCTCTCTCGTCTCTTATCGGTGGTCTCAACCAAAAACCCGGGCCTTTTTGCAATGCCCACAAGCGATCTGACCACCTTCCCGCTCGTCGCTGATCATTATCAGTTGAAATAAAGAGGGTCTTATTGCCGGGCGCTTCTTCGTGGCTTCCCTTCTCTTCGTAAGTCAATCATCACAGGGCAATTCTCATTTTGAACTGTCATTACCTATGCAAGTGTGCGTCGCGGGAATCGCCTTCAAGATCCATAGATGGCCGCCGCTTGCGTTTGGACATGCAGGATGGCGCATGAGCGCTCAGCATCTATTGTGAGCGTTCCCGAGCGCTTGTCTTCTACTGAAAGCTTCCCAGTAGCGCATTCTTTTTTTCTTATCTTTTTTTTTCATTCTCCGCTCCTCGCTTGTGTCTCGCGCTGGTCCGCCCATCATAGTCCGCCTGATCGCCAGTTGTTGGGTGGTTAAGCTGTTTTGTTTTGCCACAGCGTGATCTTCATGCTGATCGCCAGTTGTGGTTCTTTATCGTTGTAACTTCCAGCCCGAAAAAGCCAGTAGACGAGGAGATTTATTGAAGGTGAACTCATCGAACTAGAACGAACAACAAATAAAGATATAATCATTTTGCAATGAAACGTACATTGCGTGCGATAGCAAGGGATAATCCCTACACAAAAAAGGCTAGCAATAAACATTCTGACTCTACAACAGCTGGGTAGAGGCCGCTCTCAGGCAGCGCAATCGGAGCGCCGCTCGTGTGCTCATGTTTCAGGGAGAATGCGTACCGCGTTATGGTCGTTTTTAGAAAATCGGTCCGTTGTTGGGAGAACAGCGAAGCTGAAACGTGCAAGGCAGAACACATCAGCGCTCTCGCAAGCTCAGCTGGCAAGAAAAGTGGAACCCGCGAGAGCACAGAGAGACATTCCGACTTGCAAACAGATCTTAGACAAGAAATACCAGCGTATTTGCTTGAATTCTTGCATCTAACCTCAACACTGCAGCCTCATTTAACTGCGTTTCACATGTGCATCTGCGGAAAACTCCGGCGCCGAATTGATGTGTTTGAAGCGTCCTTACTGTCGTTGCTTCTAATTCATTGAACTGAGAAGAATATCAGGATTGTCAAAGCGAGAACGCCCATTTTTCTGACGGAGATTTTGATCTCAGCCCTCAACATCATTAATAAAGATTAAGACTAATTATACCGCGATCAACACTATTGCGGCGCCATTGACTCTGCCCATGCCAACCATATTTCCTAGTTCAGCTTCTCAGTAGACAAAGGAAAGCAGAACAAATCTTCTGGAAACACCTTGAACCCAAACCTACCTTTAGCAGCTGGCGGGCGCGGGCCTGGACGAGTGTTCGCCGGCGTGGCTGAAAGCATTCGACATGCGGCAGCGCAACGCCGTCCCAACTTTCGAAATAGCGATA